CTGGGTTTTGCAGGTCTAAATATTTTCAGTTGCACTGTGCTTTGAAAATCCTCCAGGTAGATCATGAGCATCATATAAACATGCTTCAATCTTTTCCTTGAGCTTAAGAACAGGGAGGAGAATTGCTTAAAAGACTTTTCAGACATGCTGAGCATTAAAAGACCTCCCGTGTCATGCTAAGCATTGGAAATGAGCTCCCTCCCGCACTGGGGAATGCAGAGGTTTTGCTGGCTACCCAAACTAGCAAAAATTTGTAGGCTACAGGAAGAAAGAATTTTGGGCTGCTATTGGTTGTATTCAATTAAGCTTTTCCATTTGCACAATTGAATTTCCTCCCTCTTCTTCCCTGCATTCTTCCCCTTCCCCCCCCCCTCAAAATCTGCTCCAGAAGGTTGGGGGACCCTCTGGAGATGTTTGGGGGCAGACAAACTATTCATACAGCATGGAATAGAACCCTCTAAGTTTATAAACATGTTGGTCTACTGCAGGCATGTCCAAAGTCCATTTCAGGGCCCTAATCTGGCCCTTAAAAAAGCTCAACAACTTCAATCTTAAAAAACAAGGTCAACAACTTTGGTCAGCCCTCATGGCCCTTCACTTCATCAAATCTGGCCCTCTCTGAAAAAAGTTTGGACACCACTAGTCTACTGTATAATGTGTTCTCTACACAAGTCTTGATCATTGTATTTTATATTGCAGTATCTGTGGATTTAATTTACTTCTCATGATTGGTGCATCCTGGCAGTCTATTCTTTGCACTTTGTGATTTTATGACCTTGTTAGCTTAGCTGTTTGTTGGGTTAAAGTACTAGGAGTAAAGAAAATGCTCTTGTGCTATTTCTGCCTTAAAACCTCTGTGCACAGGATGTGAACCTCTTAGGAACGCGGATGGTGCTTTAAGTTCTCCTAATTGTGATTATTTGAATATGTACTACTTTATTAGATTCATAATGCTACATCTATACTAGCATAAGCAGGATAAACTGCAAATGAATGGTATCGGCAAATAGATGTCAATTCAGGGCAACAGTATTCCTTATGGCAGCTCAGGTACCTTTAACACTTCACTGAATGCTTTTATCATAGCATTCTTAAATTCATTGATTTTTTTGTTCTGTAATTTGGATTAAAGGAAGGCACAATTTCTGTATGATTGAACTCTTTCATGGGTGGGGGGGATTAAACCATTAGCATTATGTAGAAATAGTGTAGCATACAAATTTGCATGTACAATTATAAGTTTGTAAATATTAGTTTTTGTTAAAAACTGTAATATCTATTTCCTGGGGCTTTCTATGGCTTCCAGTGTCTGTTTGCTCTTCTATTACTTGCTGCAATGTATTATGGGAGAACCGTCATTTACATGTACTGTATATAAAGTGCAATAATCAACAATGTGTCAGTTAACAGTATTAAATATATATGCATTCAAATGTAGTTGGACTTGATTCTTTTGAGGATGTTCATGTGCAACAATGGTGTTGCTTCATCTGCGATTCATGATAATCATGATACGATGTTAATAGTGCAAACAGGAATATATTATATCATAGTCCAGTGTTACTTACTTAGCTTCATTTTACAAATAAAATTGGTATATTATGGCTCTGAAGATTCACAAATGACACTGATTTATTTCTTCCTAAAGTATGATAAGGGAATCCCATTCTTATATATTTTATATGATTCCTGTTCAGGTACTTATGGAAAAGATTATAAACTAAACTTAGTGTTTCAAGTGAGGGGTTGAAGGATGAGACAGAAAAATTTAGACTACCCCCTTCCTCCAAAAACATGCCTCTCAAAATGCTTCTATGCACTTCACAAAGGTTACACTAGTGATGTAGTGGATAAACCTGGGAGACCAGGGTTGAAATCCCTACCCTGCAAATGGGGAGGAGCAAAACTCTTTGTCCCTTTGAGCTCCTTGGAAGGTAGGACATAATTGCAATGTTTGGCCTGCTGGTCCTTGAGAATGGGCAGCAGCATGAAGAAGCAAATGTGCTGAATCCTAACACACCCTGAAATCCCAGTGACACAAACATGCTGGAAATTATGCCACAATGAGCTGGAACATGCCATTCCCATGCCATTTGCTCCAATGGGAAGAAGACTATTCCTTCTGGCACACTTTCCCCCCTCCCCTGCCATGAAGATGGTTTGGAAGCTGTAGGGCTCTGGACCTATACATTTCTGGTGGTAATATTGCTCAGTAAGAATAATTATCCCATAAAGCAACCTTTAAATTATATTTATTTATATATAATTATATATGGTATGCCCCACGGAGGACCTTAAGCAACACCCTAGAGGTCCCGGGCCCTAAGGAAGTTAGATTAGCCTCAACCAGAGCCAGGGCCTTCTCAACACTGGCTCCAGCCTGGTGGAACGCTCTGTCTCAAGAGACTAGGGCCCTGCGGGGTCTGATTTCTTTCCACAGGGCCTGTAAGACAATAGTTGTTCCGCCTGGCCTTTGGCTTAGAATCAGTTTGATTCCCTCCCCCTCTTTCCTTTTCCTTTCTCCTGTGAAGAGGCTGCATCCTAATGTTTTAAAGTTGTATTTAATCTTTTTAAAATTGTATTTTAATCAACTTGTTTTTATTATTGGTTGTTAGCCGCACTGAGCCCGGTCTTGGCTGAAGAGGGCAGGATATAAATAAAAAAAATATTTTATTATTATTATTATTATTATTAAAAAATACTGTTATTTGACTTGTCAGTCATTTGTTACCCAAAGGTCTTCAAGCAATTTATCACACATTAAAAACAAATAGTAATACTTTATGCCACAAAAATGTAACAATACCTATAACAGCTACAGGAAATCGCCGGCACAGCAGTAGCAAAACATCCACTTGTATTCGATCAAAAGCTGGGTGGAGGAGATAAGTCTGGTGCTGAAACAAAGATGCCAGGTGGACTTCCCTGCAAAATGCATTAAACCAATGAAACCACAACTGAAAAGGTCCTCTTCTTTGTTACCACCCTCCAAGCAACCCCAAAGAGGGGGGTGGGCTCTGGAGAAGGATGCAGCTATGTTTGGGATAGACATGCCAGAATATACTGGGGTTCTGAGCCATAGAGTTTTATAGGTCAAAAGCAGCACATTGAATTGGATCTAGAACCACACTGGCTGCCTGTATGCTTCCAACACAATTGGTATTCTAGGATCTCTTTGGGTCAAACTTGTCAACTGTTTGTCAGCTGCATTCTGACTAACTGAGGCTTCTGAACCATTTTCAAAGCCCCAAGTCGGTTGCCTCAGAAGGATACCATGGTGGATGGTACTGAAAGCTGCTGAGAGATCAAGAAGAATCAACAGAGTCACATTCCTCCGTCTCCCAACAGTGGCCAATTAATGGGGCGGGGGACACACCAAAGCAATTCTTTTTGTGGGTTTGTGTATGAATTGCTGTGGTAGACTAAATTGTTGTTGTTGTTGTTGTTGTTTAGTCGTGTCCGACTCTTCGTGACCCCATGGACCAGAGCACGCCAGACACTTCTGTCTTCCACTGCTTCCCGCAATTTGGTCAAACTCATGCTGGTAGCTTCGAGAACACTATCCAACCACCTCGTCCTCTGTCGTCCCCTTCTCCTTGTGCCCTCCATCTTTCCCAACATCAGGGTCTTTTCCAGGCAGTCTTTTCTTCTCATGAGGTGGCCAAAGTATTGGAGCCTCAGCTTCAGGATCTGTCCTCCCAGTGAGCACTCAGGGCTGATTCCCTTAAGAATGGAGAGGTTTGATCTTCTTGCAGTCCATGGGACTCTCAAGAGTCTCCTCCAGCACCATAATTCAAAAGCATCAATTCTTCGGCGATCAGCCTTCTTTATGGTCCAGCTTTCACTAACATACATCACTACTGGGAGGACCATAGCTTTTACTATACGGATTATTATTATTACTTTATTTTGTACCCTGCCCCTCTGACTGGGCTGCCTGGGCTGACTCTGGGTGGCTTCCACCATATATAAAAAACAGTAAAACATTCAACATTAAAAAGCTTCCCTAAATAACAACAGTGCTTGTGTACAGGACCAAATGTCAACTTCTAGCACTTTGTAAACCTCTCTGACAAGCTAACCTGGAGAACTGTGACTTTAGGCCAGACTTGGACTATCGAGTTATGAATACAAGCCCTGAATAAAATAGAGAGTATATGGCAAAATAATATAAATACAATGCCATATCCAATTAAGCCATACTCAAACCCACTGAAATCATTATTCCATTCATTTCAGTGGGTCTACTCTGCATATGGCTTAATGTCAGCCAGATTCTTACTCCCACAATGGCTTTCTTCTCTTTCCGCTAATATTTGGTATTTCTGAAGACAGAGGTTTGTCTGGTTTTTGCAGCCATCACAAAAGAATAATAAAATCAGTGGTAGCCCTGGAGGTAAATCATAATTTAGGAAGCAAGCCTACCCACGTCTACTGAGAAGTAAATCCAGTAGAATCTAAGGAAGTTTTACTAGCAGGTATGTGGGGCTAGATTGCAGCCTTGAGAAAATTCTTAAAATCATCCACTGATCATCTTAGCGAGTCTTTTACTAGAGAGACAGAAAATGTTTTTTTTGGGGGGGGGGGCTACATGGGGTAAGATCTAGGATGATGCCCAGCCCTTCCCCGTGAAGCCCTGTATATTTTCTAGCAGCTGTTTCAAGCGTAAGAAGCTACCGGCCCCTAGGCAGCAACTTTTGAGCGTGGCATTTTCTCCCTCTTCCCTATATTTTGGCTCCTACTGCCAATTCACCTCAGAACCGCCCCATCCGGCACCGCCAACCCCGTCCCGCGTGAGGGCCGCGAGCGCCTCAATGGGAGAAGGGCCGGCGAAGCAGAAGGGGGGAACCGCCGCCCTCTCCTCTTCCAACCATCCCCGAAGATAACCAAGAAGCCCCAGTTGATGCGCCGGCGGCTGGGATATAAGAGGAGCCAGAGGGGGACTCCGAGGGAGGAGGCTCCGCCCGCCGCGCCTCAGGTCGCTCGCGGCAGCTGCAGGGTCCGCCTCGCCGGGGCGCCACGTCTGCCGGCAGCTGTAGCGGCGACGGGGGCGGAGCCGGCCTGAGTGGCAGAAAAGATGGCGGCCAGCATCCGGGAGAAGCAGACGGGTGAGTTCCCTGCTTTTCTCTTAGGGACAGGCTCGAAGGGGCGCCGGCCCTCTGCTGCCCGGGACCCCGCGGGGTGCGGCGGGGCCGGTCGCCGCCGCTGCCTCGGCGGGAGGGTTTCGCGGCGTCTTTGTTACCTCACGGAGGATACGCGCGGCCTGCTCCTTTCTGCATCCTCTGCGGGGCCTCTGCCTTTAAAACCCATGCAAGGAAGGCTCTCTTGGGCTGGCCGACCCGCTTCTGGAGGAGCGGAGCCCTGCCCCACTTTGGAGGGGAGGGTCGCCCCGTGGCGGCCAAGGCGCCGAGAGGGTTCCCTGTATTGACCCCGCATCCTGCTCTTAGTTTCCTGGCCCGGCTGTGTTTCTTTTTTCGCTGCCTCCAACCCTCGGGTTTTATAAGAACAGCAACAACACTTTGGGATTATAGGGCAGTAGGTACTTCATAGACCTACATAGACCTATAAGTTGGTACAAAAGGAGGGGGAATCCACCCCACCCCACCACGTCCACAGAGAGACTGCCGTCACAGTTTCATAGACATTACAGTTATTCCAAAGGAGTCCTTAAACTTAAAGTGGAGTCATTAGTTGTTAAAAGCAGCCTTTGCATCATCCGCCTACCCGCGTTAAGCAATTTGCAAGGCATTGTTAGAAGATACAAGAACAAATGATCCCCAAGAAATGCCCCTTTAGTACCTTACACGCATCATCCTCAAAGGAAAATATAAGGTTTATCAGAGTCAGCATTGTTTTCATCATTTCAAGCTGTGCTCCGAGGAGTTCTGAACATGTCATCCATGCGATCGTGATGGTTTTAGGCTGGGTGTTTTTCTGTGATTTTGATGGCTGGTGTTACTACTCCCAACTGAAGCACAGCCCTTCAAGTCAGAGTTCCTCCACCTGGTGTCCTCCAGTTGTTTTTGGACTAGTTCCCATTAGCCACAATCAGCACTGGTTGAACTTGTGGTCCAGAACATCTGGGGGTTACCAGGCTGGGGAAGGTTGTTTCAAACAAATAGATTTGCCTATGTTATCTAGTGAGAAGCAGGTCGGTGTAGTATGTCCCAATGGCTTGTAATTGCCAAAGCATTCCATACTGAACATATATTTACTAGTAAGAAATGTTTCAAGAAACCCGTCTGAACACATACTGCAAAGGTGTATGAAATCTTCACGGACTCACCCATGTCGGGGTTTGGGTTTAGGACTAGACTTCTTCATCAGACTTCAACACACACATTTTTTATTACAGTTTCATTCTTCTTATGTCAGAGATATTGAGAAGTCACTACCATTTTGGACTTGACAGCATATATGTAAATTCAGTGCCCTTGTGTGCAACACTTTACACTTTCTGCTGAATCTCCTTTGCCATTTTGTTCCCATTCAAGCGTTTGTTCATGGATTATTTTAAAAGTTTTAGTCTCAGGGTAGAGCCTTGGGAATATCTAATATGACTTTCACATCAATTTTCATCATACTTATGTCTCGTGAGTATAAGAAGGCTTTGGTACATAGGAAGTACAATGGAAACGTACTGTTATTTTACAAGACCAGGTTTCTGCTCCTAGGTTCTTGTCTCTTCAGTTGCTACAATATCCACACATCTTGACAAATGTTGTTATCAATTTAAATAAGACAGCCATGGCCTCTTTATTTCTTTTAATTTAACAATTTATATACTGCTTGACTACAATAATCTCAAGTAAATAAACTCTAACATTGTTTATTTCTAAATAACATATAGGCAGATTGCAATATTTTGAAAACATTCTCTTATGTGGTTAGTCATACGTTTTCAAAACTATTCAAAATCCTCTTTTCTCTCATTTTCAGTGGCTCTAAAACGTATGTTGAATTTCAATGTGCCACCTGTTAAAAACAGTACAGGTGAACCAGTATGGAAAGTAAGTCAAACTATATGCCAATTTTACATCCATGGTAATCATTTCTAGTTTCAAATTAACTTATTTGCCTTGTTCTTGAAAATGACATTTTATAGCTTTACGAAATAGGTTGTTGACTTGGACCAATTGCTGATAATGAAAATGAAAATGTTTTAATTATATTGTTGTTTAGTCGTGTCCTACTCTTCGTGACCCCATAGAACTGCATAAAGAAGAGCTCTGTGAAAGTAAACGTAACTGAGTAGATAGAAGTAATTACTTTGGTAGTGTATTTGACACTGGTGATGGATTTTATTGAGGAAACTGTACTAATGGTTTAAGAAACATTGTTTGTGACTGTGTTTTTAATGTTGCATGATAGAACCATTTCAGCCTTTATTGTTCATGTTACTTTTTCCAGTTGGTTTTTAAGTCCAGATGTCATCATAAAACAGTTTTTTAATTCTGACAGGAACTAGCTAGGTGAGCATCAGATGCACATTGCCTCATTCCCTCCTTCTCTGGCATGGCTGCAATGAGGAGCTCCGAAGCTTTTTCTTTCTTTCATTCATTTGTTTGAGGCTTGCTGTGTTGTGTGACCCTGAGAAACTCCAGTTAATCTTAACTCTGATTTGCTTGAAACAAGCCATATATTATGAAGCTGCCTGGTTTTGACAAACAACATTAAATACAGTGGTACCTCCAGTTACAAACGCTTCAGGTTACAAACTCCGCTAACATGGAAGAGTTACCTCGAGTTGAGAACTTTGCCCCAGGATGAGAATGGAAATCGGGTGCCGGCAGCACAGCAGCACCAAGAGGCCCCATTAGTGAAAGCACTCCTCTAGTTAAGAGCAGTTTCAGGTTAAGAACGGACCTCCGGAACGAATCAAGTTCGTAACTAGAGGTACCACTGTACAGTTGAAGCTTGAGACATAACATTGAGATTGATTGATTGATTGATTGATTTAGACACTAAACTGTGTTTAATCAAAAACTTGGGGAAAAACCTTAATTCAGCTGCACTGGAGGGAGCAGGAAAAGCATTTTAGCCCATGGTTCATCTAGAATTATTCCCTTCACAATAAATCATGGTTAGTTATTATGTCCAAATATTCTCTCTTGGTTTTGCATGACAGGCTGCCCTTATTTTTTTTAAAAAAAATGCAACGTCAAACAGTATTTTTAAATGCTTTCCTGTTGTTTTCATATTTTTTAAATAATAATTTGTTTTAAAGGAAATTACAGTGGTACCTCTGGTTACATACTTAATTCGTTCCGGAGGTCCGTTGTTAACCTGAAACTGTTCTTAACCTGAAGCATCACTTTAGCTAATGGGGCTTCCTGCTGCCGCTGCGCCACCGGAGCACAATTTCTGTTCTCATCCTGAAACAAAGATCTTAACCCGAGGTACTATTTCTGGGTTAGCGGAACCTGAAGCGTATGTAACCTGAAGCGTATTTAACCTGAGGTACCACTGTATTTATTTCAAAGCATATGAGAATGTGACTGACTCCTTCAAATCTGAAATGTTGCTTAAGACCCCTTTATCTGTTAAATAATTACAAGCTCATGGACAAAAAGCTGCTGCACAACCTCTGCTCAGGCCCCACTGAAGTGAATGGTGATCCATGCACTGACATTGCTTTCTAGTTTGCTTAGTGTGTATGCAACTAATAAAAGCTGACCATAGCATTCTTCTTCCTCTCTGATTGGTTGACCTCAAAAGAGTCCTATCCTCTCCCCCAAATATGTCAAGTTCCTTACTGGAATTATGCTAATAGGTATTTTTGTGTTGCAGGTTCTCATTTATGACAGATTTGGCCAAGATATAATATCTCCATTATTGTCAGTGAAAGAATTAAGAGACATGGGCATTACTTTACATCTGTATGTATCTATATGTATACGTTTTGCAGTTGTGTTACTTTATACATTGTTTGAAAAAACATGTGGTTTTTTATGGTGAGGAGGATAAGGTTGCATGTTAAACCACCAGCTGGGTAACTGGTCAATAATGGGAAGCTGAAGGATGCTAGTTATGCTTACAGTGATGTATTCTCTCTTGTAAAGAGCAGACTGAAGCTCTGACATGTCTATGTATGCCAGTCTTTACCTAAAACAGTACATAAATCCATTACATTGATTACAAAATTAAGAGAAGGCTGAAAGCAGTTTTAATTTTGCAAGTTACTGGGCATACAGTAAGAGCATATCTGAAAAATATATTTTCATTACACTTATTTCTATGCAATCTACCTTTTCAAGTCATAGTTCTGAAACACCTGAGACAGCTCCTTTTCCTTTTTTCAGACTAATCACACAAGCTATGAATGGGTACACTGAGATGCCGTGGTTAACCTTGATTGCAATTCATGATGTGTGGTCAACAAACTGCTTAACTATAGTTAAGGGAACAGGAGAGAAAGGAATACACCTTCCTTGGGCAGGCTTTCAGTTAAACTGCAATTAAAGAAAAACTAGCATTACTTCTGCATCAGCAAATTATGTAGAAAGTGCTGTGTGCCCAATCCAATAGATGATTACTTGGAAGAAGGCTGATTGCACGGTCAAGCTCTGCCCAAGCAAGTGTGCATAGGATTGAAGCTGTTGAAGCCTTTTTTGTTTCTAGGGCTTTTTGTTGTTGTTCCATTTGTTTCAAGAAAGAGTAAAACAGTTCACAAATGAAGCTTGTTCTTTTATTTCCAGTCTTCTGCACTCCGATCGAGATTCTATTCCAGACGTTCCAGCAATATATTTTGTAATGCCAACAGAGGAAAATATTGACAGGCTGTGCCAGGTAGTGTGACGTGCTTAATGTCCATTGTAAGAGTTTAAAAATTCATGTTGTAACACAAGAAACTGGACTTTGTTTTACTGCCAGATAAAAGGTAGTGTTTATGCTTCAGCTGCATAGATGTTAGGGCTGTGACTTCATTGTTTGCAGCATGTACTCCACATCAGCAAATCCAGTGATGAGCCAACTGCTTAGAAAATACTCTTACTACTTACAATGGTTATGCTATGGAACAAAGAGGTTCTTAAGTGTCATTGGCAGTTAGGAGCGACAGCTTGCTACTGCTGTAGCCCCTGCAAACGTGTTGTCTTGTATGATTATTCCCTACTTTCCTTGCAGTTTTAAAGTCTATCTACTACCTGTGCTAGTGTGTACGAATATATCAGGTGTCAAGTGTTCGAAGCTCCCATTGTTCTAGGCTCATTTTGCGACAGGGAATTTCATTAGCATGAGCAGCTTCTGAGCTCTGGGTGCAGTACTGTGCCCAAGATTTCAAACTGCAGAGTGGAAGGAAAGGAAGACCTTTTTCTGCCTCCCCACTTCCAGCAACTCTCTGAAGACTGTAGAAGAGACCCTCTTAAGAATATTAGGGGGGTGGGCAGGGGAAGGACCAGATCATGTGAAAAATGAGCATAATATTTTAGCTGCAGTTCATTCATTTTCAGCTTTGTATTCTTGTTATAAAAAAGTCTGCCTAGACATTCCGTTATTGCACCCATAACCTAGGTTTAAGGTGCATTTAGCTCCTAGCTTTCATATCTCAGTTTGTAACACTGGCTGGCTTGCTTAACTTTTTCTTAAAATCCAGAAATTGATATAGCAGTGAATATCAGGTATAACTCAAATCTCCTTTTCACATGGGAAAAAAAACCTTCATTCTCTTTTACCCCAACCTCTGAGCATTATGACAATATGATTTTCACCTTTTGTAAAGGGAGTGAGCCAGAATTGTTGCAACATTCTTAATTTGATTAAGCTTTTCAGGTGATTTGAATGTAACATTTCATAATCTGAGATATCTTTTGGAGTGATTTCTGGAACCATGACCATGAAAATGATTCATTATGCCCCATTCCTGTAGATTTAATGTATATTATACAAGCTGAGGCAACAGGTGGTATGAGTGGAATTATATATAATCAGGTTGCATAGATTAATTTTTTCTCCCATCAAAGCCCATACAGGGCAGGCCACAACCTTTGTATTGGTGCAATTTAGGATTGCAGTTTTTAGTGAATGAATGTCCAGCATATCAATTTAACACTGCTGACACCTGCAGGACACATGCAGACACTGCAGAGGCTTTTAAACTCAAATCTCAGACTGAGTTCTTCTCTAGACAGATCTAATCCAGGACAGATGCAATAACACAATGTGCAGAAAAATGAACTAATCAATATATTCAAAATTTACCCAAATGAGCTCAGCAGAAAAGCTTCTTACTAGGGTCAAAACAGGCTAAATAAAGAAATGGCATATTCTGTTAATTTTTGGTTTGAAGTATGGATACTTGGATAACATTAAATGGGAAGCTGCTTTACCCATGCTTATCAAAATAACAGAATAACTGCTTTTCTGAATAAGCTTTATTCTATCCCATGTTAGACATCTTAATAACCAGGAGTGATGTCCACTCAGAGATGCACACATTCTCACCAGTCAAAAGCATTGTATTTGTGGAATATGAACTTGACAAATGATTACCCTAGGCCACTGGCAAGTAAGGAGCAAGAATTTTAACTAAACTTGGGGCGATTACAAATGAAACCACATACCACTGTGTTCTGCCCAGTTTTTTATTTATTTTATTTGCATGAGACATTCGAGCATGCTTCCCACATGTCAGCATACATACAAATGAATATAGGACTGGGGATGTGCACCTCAAACTAAGCTTTGGGACACTGCAGATTAAACACTGACACTTCAGAAGAACATTTTCTGCAAAACTCCCTAGTATTGTATATATTGTCTGTTATTGGCATGGGTTATGCTGCCTTATAGGAGATTAATTTTTAGAAGCACTACTGTATAGTAAAGGCTTTCATTTTTAAAGTATACTTGTTATCTAAAAAATTCTGGTGTTTTTAACATTCATTTTTTTTCTTTCAGGATCTTAGAAACCAACTTTACGAATATTATTATTTAAATTTTATTTCTGCCATTTCAAGAAGTAAACTGGAAGATATTGCAAATGCTGCTCTGGGTGCCAGTGCAGTAGCACAAGTAGCTAAGGTAAAGTACATTATTCCAAACATTCATATTGGAGTACCTGTTACTTTCAAAACTGATTCAACAAGTTTTTTGGAGTGTGGGGTTCTTAAGTTGGGAGTTGGCAAAATTGGGTATTTCAGTTTGTGCAGGTTGGAACTATTTTGCAAAGATAATACTGCTATTGCATATAAGCCCTTGTTGTTCCTTAAATAAAAATAATGTTTTGATATAGTAGTGATTCAATATAAACTAATCATTTACATGTTATTCTTACTAATGATCCCTTTGTTTTGATGTATAGGTTTTTGACCAATATCTCAACTTCATTACTTTGGAAGATGATATGTTTTTATTATGCAATCAAAACAAGGAGCTTGTTTCGTATCGTGGTAGGTGGATTATTCTAAAAACAGTTATTTTGTTAAACGTCTAGCATTTTAAGAGAACATAATGGTGTAATTCTGTATGTGCACCCAGACATTCTAATGCTGGTGACGGTGTGGAGTTTTGCTACTGACTTTATTTTCCATTATTCGCCTTGATTACTTGCCTACATTTATTATTGAGCTGTAATGGATTATTGAAGTTTATGAAAGTAAGCACATAAAGTGCTTTCTGCTGTTTAGACCGAGTAACTTATTTTTGTGTCATAGACCCAGGATATATATCTTTACTATCAGGCAAGAAACATAAATGGAGGGTAGAATCCAATATGCAATCAGACTGCTGCTCATGCGACAAGGTTGCTGCTTCCTCTCATCACCCCTGCAGCCCCCTACGTGCCCCCCCAAAAAATTTGCTTCCTCTCCTTCATCCCTTTGGGACAAATTTTGAGGGTGCACGCAAGGCTGCAGGGGGAAGAGATTAAGGTGATAACCTCTCACACAACAGACAGCATTGGATACACCCTGGAATTTTAAAATTGTTTTGGTCTGCTAGAATTTTCAGCTTTTAATCTAGAGTGAATGACACATAGGAATAATTTATACAGTACAGTAATCTGATTTTTTTCTCCTCTCACTTTTTGGTATTGCAGCCATCAACAGACCAGATATAACAGACACAGAAATGGAGACTGTAATGGATACAATTGTAGACAGCCTTTTCTGTTTTTTTGTTACACTTGGTAAGTATGTTGGTTTCTTAAATATCATACCTCTGTAAGGAATGCTGTGAAATTCCCTCTACATTAAGTCATATGTCATTCGAAGGAGGTGGTTAGGATAAAGCGAGCCGCCTCTTCCTCAAAAATGCCCAGTGCCCTGAATTGTTTTTACAGAATTGAGCTCTATTCATGGTTACCTATTCCTAGAGTTTGCAAACCAGCTTCAAATGCTGTTACAGTGGTGCCCCGCAAGACGAATGCCTCACAAGACGGAAAACCCGCTAGACGAAAGGGTTTTCCGTTTTTGAGCTGCTTCGCAAGACGATTTTCCCTATGGGCTTGCTTCGCAAGACGAAAATGTCTTGCAAGTCTTGTGATTTTTTTTCGCTCCCCCCCCCCCTTTTTCTAAGCCGCTAATAGCCTTTTAGCCACTAAGCCTTTAATAGCCGCTAAACCGCTAATAGTGCTAATCCGCTAAGCCACTAATAGGGTTGCTTCGCAAGACGAAAAAACCGCTAGACGAAGAGACTTGCGGAATGGATTAATTTCGTCTTGCGAGGCACCACTGTATAAAGCAGAGTTTCAAAAAAGAATTTGAAGATGGTTCATCATGCTTGAAATTAACATTGGCACACAAATAATTTTGCACCATGAATAGTAGTGAAACATGAAGTAGGGTGAATTCAGCTGGAAGAGAGGAGAAGAAAGCGTAGGAATTGTACAGATCAATAGTTAAGTGAATTTGCTCATGCAGAAATTTTCACATTTTCAGGGACCTCCCCTTTGCCCTCAGCTTCCTGTCGCATTCAGCAGTATCCTCCAGACCTCTGGAGAGGCTTTTGGGAGCTGCTATGGAGAAATCATATTCTGCCCACCCACTTCCACTTGGATTTTGTGGATCCAACCCTATGGGTGTTGTATAGCAAAGTAATTGAGAAAAGGTTCTTTCTGTTCCACTGCTCCTCTCCCTGCACACCTCCCTGAATCTGCTACAGAGACTTGGGAGAACAGATTTGAGAGGGTTTGCGAGAAGTGGAAGTCCATGCGTTGGTGGAACAGTTCATTGGATACAACCTCATTTCTGCACTGGCTTGGACTTTGTAAAATAAGGATTTCTTCTGTAAATGTTGTCAAAAAAGAAATAGAGTCCTAGACCGAGGACAGCAACAGTATGATATGATTTCATGTTATTCTCTTTGAACATTTAATAATTTGTAGGAATTAAAGATACTGATAGATATTAGATGCTCTTGATATATGAATTGTTTGAACTCAGAGCTTACAATTTACCCATCTGTATCTGGCTAAAGATTAAAAATTAAGAATTATTCAGGAAAAGCTTCCCTATTTAAGTTTGCATGTCCTGTTATGACAGTGATAATCTGTCACTCAAGATGTGATGTTTCAGAATGTGGTTTCAAACAATTCAATTACTTAAATCTCCTGGAAGATATAAAGTAGATATGTCCTGTATTAGGTCTGCAAAATGATCCCTTTGGAGAACTAAGAAATACATTTAACAGCTTGAGAGGTGTCTAGCTATCTCCTATTGGCTAGCCTTTTAAAAAATGCTCAAAAATTCCCTCTGAATAAGGGAATTTCTCAGCACTTTAGAAAGTTTTCATAAGCTTTGTTTAAATATTATTAACCCATATTTATTTAATAAAATTAACTTGGTAGCAGGCAATATAAAAGCCATTTATCCTAAAAGAAACATAGTAGACTCTATAACAGCATTTCCCCCAAAAAATCAATTTTTATTTTTTAATAGGAGCTATTCCAATAATCCGATGTTCAAGGGGAACAGCAGCAGAAATGGTGGCAGTGGTGAGTTGTGAAATATCCCAACTGAATTAATTTTTGAAATATGTATGACAGGCATCATGAAGGGAGAATCACTGTTTAACTGAAAGCCGAACAGCAGACAGACAATTGTTTTTACTGAGCTATATCACAGAGGAGACAGAACGGTCAATGTAACTTTACATTGTCATGGTAACTCCACTTGTGTGTCCCAAGCTAACCAGACACAATCTAAGAATGTTTTTATCCACTGCAATTCTTAGGAAGACGTGCAGTAGAATTTCTGGGTTTGGACATAGCATTAAGCTATGGTTTAGTGCTACATAAACCAGCCTTAGGCTTGTGCACTCTGTGCACGATTTAAGAAGTATGCAAACTCTGGGCATAATTATTTTCCCTCCCATTGGTTCCAGTGGGAGGGAATAGTTTTAAAAGGCCTTATCAGGAAAATCTGCTCAACCAGCTCCTGCTAATGGTAAGCCAGCAGAGGTTAGGTTGATGTGGTGGTTTCTCCATCATGGAGTATTCCACCACCTTTGAGTACTTCCCATGTCTTGGATTGTATGTTGTTCTTGGCTAGCTGCCTCTTAACTGACCTGGGTATGCAGTGCCCCCTTGCTTCTAGGTGCATGTGTCTTATGTGTCTTTGATTACATCCTGGCATGCGCTCCTGTAGTCTAGGAAGGAAAGCTAGTGGCATATGAAAGTGTTGTCTCTTCAGACAAGGTTGAGGATATGGGAAGAACTCTAAATTATATTGAGTTCTTTGTAAGATAGAGCTTCTTTATTGGTCCAGCAAAACCCTATGCATGTGTACTTAGACACAAGTCCTATTCAGTTCAGCGGGACTTACTTCCAGTTAAGTGTGCATAAGATTGTGGGGTTAGTACTGAGCTTATGCTAGCTTGCAACAGTAGTGGAATATTTTTAAAACAGTAATACTTGGGAAGGGAGGAGATAGCTGTGATGTAAAGTGGAAAGGCCTGTTTGTCCCCTTTTTAAAAATTTCCCATATGTAATCTGGTGCCTCTCAAGGGCATGAACTGAGAACACAGTGCATTTGTACATGAACTAGGGGTAGTGTACTTAAAAGATCACCTTATTCCTTATACCTTGTCTAATCTTTGCAATATGCCACTCAGGCATGTCTAGTGGTGACTGGCGGTGTCAGACTGTCCTCAACAGGAAATAGTGTGGTGCTTTTTGTATAGAAAAAGCAATCTGGCACAGTCTGTACTGAGTTTCGGTGCCAACTTAAGACTTTGTTGTTTCATGAAGCTTTCTTATGAAAAGATTTGGATCACCTTAGTGTTTGGATGGGAGATAATATCAGAACCCTGTGTACACTTCCAAGAGTTCCATGAAAGAATAAAGGCAGCATGTAGATGAACTTAAATCGTTTTGGAGGGAGTGTATGAACACTCAGCCTTCAAAGATGGTAACACATGAAAAAGAAAAGATTGCAGAATGGTGTAGCATTGCTATGCAATAAAAGTGACACTAAAGGTGTCTATGCTGTTCACATAGTCATCACAATAGCAATGGAAGTGTTAGCTAAGTGGGACATCTAATGTAACCGTTATCACAAAATTTTGATGGCTCCTAGGAAAATGACATTTCTCTATGAGCATGCAGGAGCCCTTCAGTAAACAATGGGTTCAGTCCCATCCAAAGACAGGCAGGAATAATAAAATGAAAGAGTTTAGCAGCCACCCCTCATATTGGCTCCAGTTCCTTTCCCTGCCTTGCTTGGAATAGGTTAGTTTATCTCAGCCTGGGCATTCAAGATTCCTTCTGGGGGGAAAACAAGAACAAATAAGATTAGCTGTGCAAAAGAAACAGTACAGGAAATCTGATGTCTGATTTTACCACAGTGACACATGCCTTTGTTACATCCTGTTTGTCTTGCTCCACCTTAGCAAAGCTTTCAACATCTATTGTAGTGGCTTATGAGATCCAACATATCCCTCACCTTTAAACACCACAGCTCAGCTCATTCCACCAGGACTTCAGCAGCATTTGCTGCTCACTCTGCTAATGGTTCTGTTTCGGAGATTTGTAGCACAGTTACCTGGTTTATGATGAGTAGCTTGAGCACATCCCATTGTTTACTGAAGGGCTCTCACAGAGCACAAACCATTGAATAATGTGAATGCTGCTTCTGGGGACACACACAAGACCTTCTGACCAATCCTTGTGGTTGAGTGGCATCCAGTTTTCTATTTGACCTTGCCTTTTCAGTTGGCTCCTTTTTATATCAGCAATTCCACCAACATTTGAACTTGTCAGACATCCTCTTTGTGTCATGCCTTTTCATAGTTTTTTCTTCTTCTCCTGATTACGATTCTTCTTGAATTTCCTCTTGGTTTTGTCTCCCGGTTTTCACTTCCTTAAGGTCTGCAAGAACTTGGCAACAGGGCAGGAACTGGAGGCAGGATGTGAGGGTTGGCTGCTAAGCTTTTACTTTCATTACCTTACCCCTGTCTATGTCTGGGTAGTGGATCTTTAGCCAGTGTTTACTGAGCCCATTGTCTCCCTCACATTCCCAAAAGGAGCATTCACAGTAAGTTTAAAATGCTCCATTCTCAAGTTTGGATCTTTCAGCTTTCCTTGATTATTGAGATATTTATACCCCACCTTTTCAATTCCAGAAGGTAATCTCAAGCTGGTTATCTCTCTACCGTTATTTCATCATGGACCATTTTCTCATTATTTTCATCTTCGTCCTCATATAGGCTGTGGGGAAATTGACAGGTTCATTCTGTTATATTTAGCTATATTTATGGATATATGGGGATGCAGGTGGCGCTGTGGGTTAAACCACAGAGCCTAGGACTTGCCGATCAGAAGGTTGGTGGTTCGAATCCCCACGACGGGGTGAGCTCCCATTGCTCGGTCCCTGCTCCTGCCAACCTAGCAGTTTGAAAGCACGTCAAAGTACAAGTAGATAAATGGGTATCGCTCCGGCGGGAAGGTAAACGGTGTTTCTGTGCACTGCTCTGGTTTGCCAGAAGTGGCTTAGTCATGCTGGTCACATGACCCGGAAGCTGTACGCTGGCTCCCTCGGCCAATAAAGCGAGATGAGCGCCGCAACCCCAGAGTCGGTCACGACTGGGCCTAATGGTCAGGGGTCCCTTTACCTTTACCTTTATGGATATATGAAAGCTCTGATAAATCTTTTTCAGAAACTAGATAAGAAACTCCGTGAGAACCTCAGAGATGCCAGAAACAGCCTTTTCACAGGTGACACACTTGGAGCTGGACAATTCAGGTATCAACATCTACTTTTATTTTTCAGCAGCCATTTTTAAAGTCCTTTATGTATTCATGCTTGGCAGATTTGCAGCATGTCATTGCTTTTCATCTGCTTAGCTGGAAGATATAGCAATATTGGGATTTAAAATCCTAAGGAGAGAAAAACATTCTACATGATTTTAAAATGATGGAATGATTTTAAAATGGGGAAACCAAGCCAGATGGGCAGGGTATAAATAAATTATTATTATTATTATTATTATTATTATTATTATTATTAATTATTTATTTATTATTATTATTATTATTATTATTATTATTATTACATAGCAGGTGGCAAAATGCTTCATATTTCGTAACTATTCTGCAGGGTTTGGCAATGAATTTGGCCACAGAAATATTCCAAATATGTTTCAGGTTATTAACTTAATATTTTTATTTAGTTTCCAGAGACCTCTCTTAGTACTTGTTGACAGAAACATCGATTTGGCAACTCCTCTACACCATACTTGGACCTACCAAGCCTTAGTGCACGATGTACTGGTAAGAAACTTGTTTTTTGTGACTATATATTCTTTGCTTATTATTATTGCCAGCTCAATAATGTAAAACTTTGGTTCAGTGCTTGCCTTAAGACAGGAATGGGGAAATTGTTTCTCTCCAGATAGCATTGGATGACAACTCCCATCATCCCTGACCATCAGTTATGCTAGCTAGAACTGATGGGAGTTTGAGTAACAACATCTGTAGAGCCACAGATTCCCCATCCATGGCTGGTAAAACTGCCTAAAAACCCATTTCTTTCCACATAAAGGAAAACAGAAATCCTTACATGTGCAAAACAGCTGTTAGTTTGAACCATAATTTCCCTCCCATTATAACTGTTTATGAATGTAATTTGAGGCTGTGGTCTGCTGTAGTACAAATTTGGTTACTACCTAACTTTCACATAATGACAGTTGTGCTGTCAAATTCCTCAAGTTTTGGCTGGACTTCATAACCATTCATTATTTCTAGTAGTCAGTGAGATTGGTTTTTCACTTGCTGCTCTACAAGTACATTGCTTTTGTACTTGCTTTCTGGTGAGGTGGATTTTATATGCGTTGGTTACCATATTTGTAGACCACTGAACTTGTGTGATGTGCATATTGGATGCAGTAATAACAGTGAGATGAGATGAGAGCTAATAAACTGGATGAGAGCTAATAAACTGAAGCTCAATCTGGATAAGACTGAGGCACTGTTAATGGGAGGTTCCTTTAGGCCAGACAGGAAGGTGGCCTGTACAGTACCTCTGAAGAAGAGGGAATGTGCCTTGTGGATACGTCTCAATCCATTGCTGTTGCTTGAGGCTCAGGTGGCCTAGGTGGTCCAGAGTGCATTCCAACAGCTTTGGCTGGTACCTTAGCTGTGCCCCTGTTTGGACAGAGATAGCTTAACTTCTGTTGGCTATGCTCTGGTAACCTCTAGGTTAGATTTTTGCAACGCATATGTCGGGCTACTTCTGAAGATGGTTCGGAAACTTCAGCTGCTGCAGAATTCAGCGGCCAGGGCAAGACAGTTTGAGCATAAAACACCAATCCTGGCCTGACTTCACTGGCTGCCAATTAATTTTCCAGGCCCAACTCAAAGTGCTGGTTTTGACCTATAAAGCCTTAAATGGCTTGGGACCACAATAGCTTAATAATTCCTCTCCCCATATGGACCTACCCGAACCTGCAACCATCATCTTAGGCCTTTCTTAGTGTGCCTCCTCTGCAAGAGGTCTGGAGGGGAGGTAACACAAGAATTGGCCTTTTCAGTGGTGGCTTCCCATTTGTGGAATGCTCTCCTAGAAGGCTCACCTGGTGCCTTTGTTACATATCTATAGGAATCATTCCTCATTTTCCAGGCCTTTGGCTAATTAAAAAATTTATGGCCTTTTAAACTGTTTTTTTCTATGTTATGTCTTTTTGAGTTTTTATATTGTAAACAGCCCTGTGATCCTTAGAGGAAGGGAGGTATAGAAATTTAAATAAAATATAGCCAATAAATAAAATATAGCCAATACTTAGGATCATTTTTACCTGTTGTAACAAAAGCTTTTAGTTTACTGTTTGAATGTTTCATGAAGTTTGCACATATCATCAGAATAATATTTAGTACTGTTTTATAATTCCTATTCAGTTCATAACACAACTATCAACATTAAACATTAAAATATTATTCATCACCACAAGATGGGGTAGATGTTCCATATTAAGAAACTCAAAGAATAACAAGACAGTCTTGTGGTTATAAGTTGCTGTTTTTTAACTAGGAAAAGAAAACCTAAAGAATTATGGATAGCTGTTAACCAGAGCTGATATAGCCCTCTTAGACTATTTTAGGCCTCTACATCTACATGTAACTTTATGCATCTGAAGGAGACTAGAGTCCACTTACATAAATTATGCCATAATAAATTTATCAGTCTTTTAAGACTTGACAACTCTCCATGCTACCAATCTGGGCATGTTAACTTTCTTTTTGAAAAATCCTTCATTTTTGTTTATGAACCCAAACCAGATATTCCCAAACTGTGGTCCATGGACCACTAGTGGTCTGCGAGCTTTATTCAGGTGGTCCATGGTATGTTTGTGCATTTGTGATTGAAGACAGCATATGCATCACCTTAAACATTCATATTGATTTTTAATTGTATATTTGCTGCTACTTTTAATTTATAATATTTTGATTTGCATGGTATTCAAATTGTAATACAATAAAATATGGGTGGAATTCAACAGCATGTTATTACAACGCTCCATCTGCACAGACACTCATTATAGTCTTGCCTATGGAGAATACTGATCACATATCTTAATAAAAATAAACTATTTCAAGAAAATGTATATTATGTCTTAAAGCAGGTGGGGGTTCTGAAATATGAAATTGTTTTTAGGATACAGTTACCTTTGAAATTCAAATAATAACCACTTCTTAAAAGCATATTTCCGGGAAACATTTTAAATAGAGTTTATAGATGTTTTTCTAACATTTCTGACATACAAGTTGAATTTCAGAATTAATACTTCATAAAGCTAGTATAATTTATTTAGGGGCATTTTATCCCTTTTATAGAATTTTTATTTTTGTAATGGGAAAAAGTTACGTAAGTTTTTTCTTCTTTATGTAAATCAATGTTCATTTTTCTCTTGGCTGATGCACTCAAGGGAGATTGTGGCATGCTGAACCAAATGCCATTCCAGCTACATATTTATAGCAATTCATCTGTTTAGGTAATAACTGTACCATTGCTGCTTATAAACAGGTTGATCTGTGGAGAATTGCATTACTCTTTTCCTTGGGAGTCAGAAAGTTGTGTTCTGTGAAAGTACAGAAAATATTTTTCTTCTCCTGAGTGGGGTAGACATTTCCCCATAATTCACATTAATATCTTTCAGTTCTTTACTAGCAGTCAAGCAAAGCAAAGAGTAGGCTTGGCGCTCTCCTACCCAACTCTTTTCTCTCTTTTTCTCCCCACCCCTCCCATGGCAGTATCGGTCTGTTAGATCCTCTTTCTGTTCTTATGAACTGAGTAGTCCATGGGACATCTTCATCTCCCCCATTTCATCCCAACGACCTGAAGCGTTGGAGTCTGTTCTTCCTACACCGATGCAAAAGTTTTACCATATTTTTGGTTGGGAAAATAGATATAAATGGAGCTGAAGTATAATAATGCCAGTCAGTATAAGGAGAAAATGCTTCGAAAATTGCAGTATCCTCCCATTTGCTGTTGAATTAAAGCCATTGAAGAGCCAAATTTGGTGGCTAGGTTGCTCACCGGGGCAAGACTATTTGAGCATATAATGCCAGTCCTGGTTTGGCTGCCACTTAGTTTCCAGACCCAATTCAAAGTGCTGGTTTTGACCTATAACAAGTTAAATGACTCAGGACCACAATACCTGAAGCTATGGCAACATGAGAATGGACCTTCTCTGTAGTGGTATGTTTTCTCCTGCTCTGGAGAGTAAGATTCAAACCAATGGCTTCAAGTTAGGAGCCATTCCGACTAAACAACAGATAAAACTTTCTGACAGTAAGAGCTGTTTGAAAGTGGAACGGTCTCCCTCAGGAGGTTGTGGACTCTCCTTTCTTGGAGGTTTTTAAGCAAAGGTTGGATGGCCATAGATGCTTTAGTTGTGATTTCTGCATTGCATGGAGTTAAATTAGATGATCCTTGGTGTTCCTTCCAGCTCTACAATTCTATGCTATTATTTGAACACAATCATATGCCAGTGTGAAATAATTATTATAGTTGTGTGTAGTGCTTAATATAATGTGTGACTCTTCCATTTTGACTTTTTGCTAGGCAGAGAAAAAGAACAGTAAAGACAGTTACTAACTTTTAGCCATCTTTTTTAAAGAAAGAAACAATTACAGAGAGTTGCACTGGTAGCTGCAGCTTCTAAGCGGGAGATGCCATTTTTAATTCTCCAAACACCAACTGTGTGAGGAAATGTGGGGTGTAAATGCATTGAATAATAATAATAATCCAGAGGTGCCTTTCATTTGTGTTGCCTGAAATGGTTCCAGGAATGAGAGGAGATAGATAGGGGCAAAATTAAAGAACTCCCTTTGTCTCTCTTTTCTCTATCCCATCTCCAAGCTGTTCTTCATACAATGCAGACTCCAGTTCAGAGGATGAGAGGGTAATCCACAGCAAGGAAAAAAGAGAACCTTATTTTCTCTCACTTTCAATGTATATTTTCTTCCATCCCCACCCCTCCCATTTCCCAGGTTGTCTTGGATTGCCTGGGCATTCTCAGAACAAAAGAGGAAGGAGGCAAATTAAAAAGCGTCTGAATGTTTTGCAGAAACATAGCCAAATAATGTTTTGTAATATTCAGAAGTTGCAACAGTTGCCCAATGGAAAAAGCCAATAATAATAATAATATCTATTCTTAAGCTTTTGTACAAAGAGTAGACTACAAGTGAACTAGCACAATTTGAGGCAGCGTTTAAAATGTCGTATTTAATAGAAAGAGTATGAGATTTCATTTGCTCTGCATATTCAGAATCACATTCAACAGTTGCCCTTTTTATAATCCCATTTTGAATTAGGAATATTCTGCTTTCCATTGTGGGGCAGCAGGCAAAAATGTTTAATCCATATAATTTTCTTTAAAGGATTTTCATTTGAACAGAGTTGTTTTGGAAGAGTCTTCAGGAATGGAAAATTCCCCAGCAGGTGCTAGACCAAAGAAAAAAAATAAAAAGTCATATGATTTAACTGCAGCTGATAAATTTTGGCAGAAGCATAAAGGAAGGTAAGCTGGATATTTTAAATTAACTACTTCTGCTTCAATGTCTATTACTAACTAGGGGCTTTGCCCCTGCTCACTCCACTTACCAATCTCTCTGCCATTCCCCACCACATCAAACCCCTTCCCACCTCATCCCACTACGGAGGTCACTGTTCACCTTCCTAACCCCATTTCCAAAGCCACGTCTCTCTTCTTCAGGCTTGCTTTGCACTCATTTTCACCTTCACCCCAACTTCCTTTTGTTCATCTCTCCTTGAATACAAATAACCCCCATAGTAACCTCTTGCATCTTTCTCATCCCACACATTGCAACTACTAAGCAGCCTTTTCACCTTCTGCCTGTCTATGAAGCCACCCCCTTCTATTCTACAGACCCTTTCATGCCCCTGCTTCAATCCCATTCCTCTTATTCCCTCCTTTTTAACCCCCTTTGCACCTCCTCCACCCTCCTCTCCCTTGCACACAGACCATTCCCATTTTCATGCCTCCTCCTCTCTCCAGTTTTGCAGCCTTCTTTACACAACATGATGATATATGTTACTCTATATTTAAGATGAATAAAATCTTAACAGCAAATCTGTCAGTTAGCTTATTCAGTTACAGAAGACTAAGGTCACTTGATGGGTGTTAACGCATAGATTGGTGTTTGCTTGTTAATAAAATATATCTTCTAAATCAGTGTTTCCCAACCTTTTTTGGGCAAAGGCACACTTGTTTCATGAAAAAAATCTCGAGGCACACCACCATTACAGCCCCGTGACGTCAGCGCGCAGCGTCACGCCGGGAGGGACATGAATTGCTAGCAAATTACATAATCACCTCCTTGAGGGCTGGCTCATCTTCTCCGAAGGCAGAACCCCATTAATTAACAGCACAGACTCACACCATAGCCAAGACGAGGGGGGAAAACCTCAGTCATGCACAGTCATGCACATGTGGGGGCTAAATGAGGACGAAGACCGGGCAGAGAGCAGGGTTCAAATCACCCCACCTGGCCAGGACAATCCCTGGGTGCTCCCTTGGGCCACTCGCCTGACCCACCTCGCAGGGCTGTTGTTGCGAGGATAACACGGGGAGAACCACGCGCGCCCCCGGGAGCTCCTTGGAGGAGAAAGCGGGCGATGAATGCAATGCACGAAATATATGAGAGGCGACCAGGTTTTGCAGGTAAGGGGCCCCCGCCAGCCTCCGCTTCCAACATCCGGCGCAACGACGCCGAAGTTTCCCCCCGGGCTCGGCTCGGGGAGCAGCGCTGCTCCCCCCCCCGGCTCCCCTTCGCCCTCCCGGCTCTCTCTGCCGCCCACTGGGGACCCCCCTCACCTGCCAAGTCCGGAGCGCCGGTGGAAGTTGCATGCATGCATGCAGGGCGCCGCGTTGCCATTGCATTGCACTGCACTCCATGCAACGCCTGCACGCATGCATTGCCTTGCACGCCCGTCAAGGGGTCTCCCCGCGGTCCGATGCGTCCCCTCCGGCGCGGATGCAGCATTGCAAAAATAAAAATCCCCCGACGCAGCCCTACCTGGGGGGCAGCCTCCGCCTCCGCCGCTCCACCTCTGCGGGGATCCCCGGGCTCCATCCTGCCGCCCGATCTCCGCGGGGGCGCAGGCAGGCTGCGCGGGGTCTGCGCGGAAGAGCCCCTGCCCGCCCGGCCGCCGCCGCTGCGCTCATTCCATGGCCGGGAGAAGAGCGCTTCAAACAAAACGCCCGGCCCGCCAGGCCACGCTGGGAAACGTAGTTTGCGCACCCCGCGCGGGCGCGGAGCCCAAGGGCGAGGGGACTACGGATCCCGGCAGCCCCCGCGCCGGGGACGGAGGGGGAGAGGCCGAGTGCAGGGATGGAGGGACGGGTGGGCGAGCGAGTGAGTGAGTGGCAGCCGCCAAGCCTTGGCCGAGAGCCAGGAAGGGCCTCCCCGGAGGAGGAGGAGGAGGAGGAGGGAGGCGCAGAGCGGGAGGGAGGGAGGGAACCCCAGGGGTCATCTAGTGACGGCGCCCCAATCGAAAATTTGACTTAAAAAAAAAAATCTTTCGAATTTTTTAATTTTTCCCGCGGCACACCAGGCAACATCTCGCGGCACACTAGTGTGCCGCGGAACAGTGGTTGGGAAACACTGTTCTAAATTACTACATTGAATCTAGAGCGTCATGTCGAAGACAACACAGGGTACGAGAAGTGAAATACATAATTGTGGGAAGTTACTATGAAATGTTTGAAGGCTTCACATTGTTTATCTCTCTCGCATGAAGCAGCTGAGGAATAGAAGAAGAAGAGGTTTAAAACAGCCAATTTTCAGTGTCCTTCTTGCTGGACTCCTCAAACAATGGCAGAAGTTAGGCAGAGGGACACTGAGAAGAAAATTGAGGTTTGAGTAAAGCAGGGATGGAGAGACAGTGAGGGTTCGTTAAAAAAACAACAGTTTTAACAAGGAGAAAAGAGAAGGGTACTGAGTTACTGTGTGCAGCCCCAGGTGTGTTTGCAATGAAGGGTTGGTGGGCTGAATGAAAGTGAATAAAGGATTATGGAAGCCAGGTTTTTTACAGACTGTGTTAATTTAAAGTGTAGATTTAAACAGTGTCTACATAATCTCTTTAGCCCTTTCCCAGAGGTAGCCGAGTCAGTTCAGCAAGAGCTAGAAACTTACAGAGCTCAGGAAGATGAAGTCAAGAGGCTTAAAAGTATAATGGTAAGATTTGCTTATATCTAACTTAAAATATTATTCTTGGAATTTATACAGTGCTTTAAAATGTTGACATTCAAGAAATGTACTGGGTGTTTCCAGGAAGTAAATGCACAGGAAGGGGGAGTTGGGAGGACTGGAGAGGCAATGCAGCACAGCCCTATTGGGACTGGAGTTTAAACCTCTAACAAGGTTGCACTTTTAAGAGATGCATGGAAGACAACTCCTGCAACCAAGCTTGTGCCAAATGTATTGCTCTGCTTTCCTTTGGACCACATCAGTGGGGCTGAGAGGGGTCTTCTTATCTGGGCAGCCCAGGACCTCCATACACACTGTCCAGGCTTGTGCCCCAAAGAAATTCCTTCGGTGCTGGAGGAGACAGGAGGCAGCAGTTACATGTTACTGGTCTCTGCAGCCCCCCAGCAGGTGCTGGTATTCTCCAGTGGTTTGACTTCATCCCTGGAGGCACACTGTATCTTTTGATGCAGACAGCTTCCAACAACACTAGGAAAGCAGTGAACAATATCTCTATATTTTCAGGTAATTTTAAGGTCTGGCAGAGGGCTTGTTGAAGTCTGCATTCACCCATTGTGTTGGTAATCATATTTTAGGGAGCCATGGGCCATAATTCACAGAAGAGACTTGAAAATGTTTCAGTATTTTCAATCCTTTTTGTGAACTGCTTTGAAATTCTTTTTCTAGTTAAGTGATGTATACCGTATTTTTCATTTTTCGCCCTATAGGACGCACTTTTTCCCCTCCAAAAATGAAGGGGAAATGTGTGTGCGTCCTATGGGGCGAATGCAGGCTTTCGCTGAAGCCTGGAGAGCGAGAGGGGTTGGTGCGCACCAACCCTTCTCACGCCCCAGGCTTCAGGCAGATATCTGCAAGCCTGGGGAGCCCGCGGGAGTTCCCGTCGGGCTCCCTAGGCTTGCGGATAGCAGCCTGTTCTGGGGGCTGGGGTCGGGGGAAGCTCGGACTTCCCCTGCCCCAGCCCTGCGCCGGGGGGGGGGAATAATTTTTTTCTTTATTCGCCCCCCCCCCAAAAAAAAACCCCTAGGTGCACCCTATGGGCCGGTGCGCCCTATAGGGCGAAAAATACGGTAAATTCTATGAAACAAATATATAAACCAGTAGACCTAGATTTATCTTTCTTCAAAACCTGTGTAAAATTGAATTGTGGTTCTTCTGTTATAAAGTTTGATATCTCAACTGGATTTTCACCATATTTTTGTTCTTCAAGTATATACGGTGGTTGTTTTTTTTGAAATTATTTTTCTTCCCAGGGACTAGAAGGTGAAGATGAAGGAGCAATAAGTATGCTTTCTGATAACACAGCTAAGCTAACTTCAGCTGTTAGGTAAGCATATTACTGAAGCATTCTTAAGTGCTTGCAAAAGACTTGTCATTTAATCAGTTTTCTTTCTTAGTCAGTTTTAAGGATACTTGACTGACTCTCCAGAGTATGTTCCATAGTAGAAGCATAACACTGTGGCACACTAGTGTAGCCCAATGATATAAGATAACATGGGTGCCAAATTATAGGCTGGGAAGATTAGGAAGTCTGATTATTGAAATCATACCACTGCAGATTACATCTTGCAACATTTGCTGAGGAGCAGAGAAATAGGAGTTACATATCCAGTATCGTGATCCTGTGCTAGAGTTGGGTGATATTTCGATTCTTTGTCTGAAACTGGTATGAAGTTCAGATTGTGATACCGGTTTCAGACTTTTTGAGGCTGCCATGCATCGCAGCTCCCTGGCCACTCCCAGCACAGCGCATTTCACTCCCATCTGTCTGCCTGCCTGCGCTGTGCTGGCAGTGGCCAGGGAGCCGCAATGTATGGCCAGCTGAAATTGCCTGTTCTTCTGCCTGCCTGCCTGCCTGTGTGTTTGCCTTCCATATCTCTTCTCTGGTGGTACTGTTATTGTTGGCTTGCTTCCCAAGTGACCAAAGGCCTCAGATCTCACAGGTGCGTGTTTATAGGTGGAGACTCCTAGAGGCATTAAAAACTTTTCAGTGGCTGGTCATTCCAGTCAAGTTCCTCCCCACCCGCTGTCCCCAAGTCACATACTTGGGAACTCTTATCACAGAGCCAGTGAGTAGAGCAAGGTAGGGGCTAAGGCAGCCTTTCCCAACCTGGTTCCCCCTGACATTTTGGACTACAATTCTGTCCTTCGTGATGTCATGTCGGCTGAGGTTGATGGGAGTTGTCATCCAAAACATCTGTAGAACACCAGGCTGGAAAAAGCTGGTGGTCTAAAGTGTGTCTTGGCACAGAGATCCTAAACTTGTTTTGGATATCCATTTCCTGTATCTCAGAAGCTGCTGATTTAAGCGTACTACTGTCTCTCAAAAGTATTATCTTGTTCCCTCATATGTATATCATTTTGGGTTGCTTTTGTAATGCTAAATATGGAGTTGAATTGGACTACATAGTGCGGACAGTTAGTTTGTATGTAATTTCTTCAGCTCTCTTCCAGAGCTTCTAGAAAAGAAGAGGCTCATAGATCTTCATACAAATGTGGCAACAGCTGTTCTGGAACATATAAAGGTATGGAAAATAGAGTCATTTGAAGCTCATTAACCATGAAGCTTTTTAACATACTAAATATTCTGAAATCAGTGTTCTTCTGTAAAACATTTGCAATAACTTCATTTTTAGAAGAAGGAATAAGTAAGTTAACAGCAAAAAGAACAAGAAAGATACTATCTATCACGATCAAATTTAAATGCCAGCCAAAAATTAACATTTTTGAGTGCCTTGAGTGAAGAGTGTAATTCTGCTTGTATGTACCGGTACTTGTCAGTATCAAGTATTGCAGTCTACATGGATAGGCAATGATGTGCCACTTCCTCGCTGTGCAAACTTAACCATAGTTGTCTGTGTCATGGAGGGAGTCGGCTCCCCAGTTCCTCCCTCCAGGCTACTCATCAATTACACGCAGGCACTGAGCGGGTTACCAGGCTTTATTGGCATCTTCCTTGGCAAAAGTTACAGGGCATCAAACAACAAATCTAATAAACGACATGTTCTCTCCTGCCCCCAGCAGGTTAACTCAATGATTTATAGGGGCTGGGGGATGCAGGCAACCAGCCAGCCCCATCACATGCTCCCACTTTGGGAGACTAATTGTTACCACCTGCCTAAGGGGCCCCACCCAGCAGTACTTGCTCGCAGGATCACCACTTCATGACAGTCTGAATCATTAGCAGCTACTACCATCATCTCCAGCATTTTTGAGAACTGGTGCAGTTTGGCAGCCAATAGTGTAAACAGTAGACTAATGCAAATTTGCCATCAGCCACAAACACTCTACATGAATTTAGGCAAAGTACTATCGCTCATCTTCAATCTGGAGCTAAAAATATGAGTACAGTCATACCTTGGGTTACAGATGCTTCAGGTTGCGCATTTTCGGGTTGTGAACTGCACCGAACCCGGAAGTACCGGAATGGGTTACTTCTGGTTTTCGGTGCATGCGCAGAAGCGCCGAATCGCAACCCGCGCATGCACAGACACGGCGCTGGGGGTTGCGGATGCTGAGGGTTGCGAACGTGCCTCCCGCACGGATCACGTTCGCAACCTGAGCATCCACTGTACTGTAAAATGAAGGTTGTTTTCTCAGGACTCTGAAGGGATACATTAGTTCCATTTTGGAATCCTGGTTCTATTATTTAAAGCAGGGATCATACTTTGGGTGGAAAAACATAGCCAGTTTTAAAGTTCTAGCCTTCATTTTTTCATAGAGAATATCATTGTGTTGTCAATTTATAGGCTACATTTTTGGAATGTACAGTGTTAACAAAAATTGAAACAGCTACAGCATCTCATGTTTGATAAAAATGAATAAGAAACTTATTTTTATCTTATTCAGAAATGATCTTAGACACAAGCTAGTATTCTGCCAGATCATATTCTCATCTTACGAACGAAAGAAGAGAGGAAAAGGTTTAAGCAGAAGGCCATGCCTGTATATCATGCTGCTATTAGGAGAACAACTACACTATCAGAAATAGCTAACCCAAGCAATTTTTATCCACTGCTTATCTTTTAAAAAGCTTATTGGTTCCTGATAATAACTTCACAAAGAATAATTTACGTCGGTTGAATTTTGAAAATTTGTGATCGCCAGCTGCCCAATCTATGTAACCTAAAACAATACCATGGATGAATACCCACCTTCAGCAATGCACCTAATTAGTGTAATTTTAATTGAAAGAATTTTTATTATTTACACACTATTTCCCCTCCTCTGGATTTGACGGCAATATCACTTTTTTCTGCAGTGTTTGACATGGAACATTTTATGAAAGCTTTATGAGTTCTGAATAATAGTGCAGTATTTCCATAGAATTTGATTGAAGTCAAATGTGCAGTGGGTGACGTTGAGTCCTTATTTGATGCCTTATTTGTCACCTTTTTTTCCTGGGAAAGTGGTGGCAGGTCATTGACAGCAGCATTTTACACTGGACTTCGATCAAATTCCAAGGCAGGATGTGGTTTGGAAATAATTGCATGGTTGACTATCTCCCACTTCCAAGGCACAGAAAACTGATGTCCTTTCTGAAGTGGATGCTTTTGACACTGCAGAGGTAGAATAAATTATTAGTGTGTCCCCTTTGTGTCTCAAGATGGGAGATTATTAAAGAAAAATAAAAGACAGATCTATCATCGAACTCAGGGCAGTCCAACTTTTCATACCAAGTGGCCCGCAAGAGCACTTAAGCATGGAACCTGCGGGCCTTGTCGTGCCAAGGGGGAGGAGAAAGCCAAAATTTGACCTCCCCTCCCCTAGCCCTCATGCTGCCTTCCCAAAGCTGGAGGCACTGGGCGTTGGGAAGGAGGCACAAGGCTCTGATGGTAAAAACCCTTTAGTATAAAGTATTTGGATTAGACTGTGTCTTAAGACTGCACATACATATGCACACATGCACACACACACACACCTTTTGACTTCAGTGTAGTTTAGAGAAGAGTAATTGGGCACAGAGTTGCAGTTAAAGATTTACAAAGACTTATTTAAAGGGTGTTACTTCGTACAGTGTAGTATTACCTGATCTGATCATTTGTACCTTATCTGAGAAGTAATTTTAAAGTCATACTATGTGCAATAGTGGTATTTTTAGATTCAGTTTACAGCTGCTTTCCACATTGCGTTAGATCATTTTCGAAGGCACAGCAAGAGGAACTGTGAGATTAATCACCAGCTCATGGAACCTGGCAGTTTTTTGGCATATTTCAGTGTTGAGCAAAAATTCTGGAAAGAACACACCAGTATTTCCCAGGATGGATTAGCAAATATTTATTGGTAAAGCTTAGAAGAAAAGAAACCTTGTTTTAGGTTAATTGTTTAAGCTGTTAGGAGTTTGGCAACTAATAATCATAGCCAAAATAGGGTTTGTTTTTTGTTTTGTTATTAAAAAGGCTGTCGTTTTATTGGAAACATTCTTATACTGCTGTTCTGGGCACCTTTACGCATTTTTCTTTCCCACTAGTTTCAGTGAGAGTTAAGCATTAACAGTGGGTACATGGTTGAAGTCTTGGTGTATAGTATTTCCTTATTTTAATCTAAATTTCTAAATCTAAATAATCTAAAGTTCTGATTTCTGTTGGATTTTTTCATAGATTTATAGTATTTCCAAAAATAATAATGTAGATATGTGACTTTTTCTACAAGTTTATTTTAAGATATAATAGAACAAATAGTTTGACAGAAGGATTGTGACTATTGGCCAGTTACTACTCTAGCATCATAGAATATGTGAATGTAGTTAAAGACCTGAAATATTTGCAGAACTATTAGCACCTTCCCCTGTACGGTAGCCACCAAGTACTTTTTTGCTTTACAGGGGCCTAAGGGCCTTCTAGTAAGTCATCTTGTTTGTCTGCCTCTTGCATAGCACTAAACTCTGGGCTACCTTTTTCACAGCTGCCACACACTCAACCAACACATTCATCAAGCTATCCACTCTGACCCCAAGATCTCGTTTTGGTCAGTCACCGCCAATTCAGGCCTCATAAGAGTATATATAAAATGAAGATTTTCTGCCTCAAAATGCATCATTTTGCACTTGTTTACACCATTGGTAGGCAAACTAAGGCCCGGGGGCCAGATCCAGCCCAATCACCTTTTAAATCCGGCCCGCGGACAGTTCGGGAATCAGCATGTTTTTACATGAGTAGAATGTGTCCTTTTATTTAAAATGTATCTCTGGGTTATTTGTGGGGCCTCCCTGGTGTTTTTACATGAGTAGAATGTGTGCCTTTATTTAAAATGCATCTCTGGTTTATTTGTGGGGCCTGCGTAGTGTTTTTACATGAGTAGAATGTGTGTACTACTATAGCAAAGACCCCAGAGCACAGTCTAAAGGCACATAGTATAGCAACCTTGCTGAAAATGAGTACATTTGAATCTGATAAGTGCTTGGTTTTGAGACTACCCCTGGGTACTTCATGTATGCTGCTTTGAGTTTCATGGAAGAAAGGTGGCATATAAATGTTATATAAATACAGGTCTTAAGACAGGTTTGAATGCTGCTTTCTCACTTCTGATCATGGGAGGAAGGGAATGACCAAACTAACATATTGTGTGGTTATTTGAATGTTGGCTCCCCTTATTCAGACTTTTTTTCTCCCACGGTGGGAAGGAGTGTACAAATATGATTTCTGAGACCGGCTTCCAATCTCTAATCATAGGTTATCCCTGGCTGAGGAAAATCAGCATATGAACAGTTTCATATATTAAAAGTAGCTAATCAAATCTACTGCAGTAATGATATTCTAACAACAAATTTGTTTTTATTTAATTTAAAGACACGGAAACTAGATTTGTATTTTGAATATGAAGAGAAAATCATGAGCAAGTCGACCTTGGATAAATCACTTTTGGACATGATTTCTGATCCTGATGGTAAGTAAAAAAATAATAATTTACTATAAAGTTTCTTTCTGTTAATAACATTCTGAGAATTGTTGCCATATAAACAAGCTCATGCTATTAAACATTTTCTGCCTGGGAACTTGAAATACCACTGCCGGTTGGATATCATATCATACACAATATATCACCGTATGATATTGTTTGGTATGTTTATTCTTTAAATGTCTTACCTTTTAAAATTTGGCCAGTCTTCTAAAGTTTGCACGTTCAGCATACAAAGTCAAAGGGTAGGCCTCAGGAACTCCTGGTCCAAATGCTTCAGCAACTAAAGGATGCTAGCCATGGCTATAAAGAACCCCAGCTAGCTCAGCATCTTAACCCCAGTAACAAAGTATCAAGCCAAGGTAACAGGTGAGTTCGGCTGCAGGGTGAGAAGGCTAGGGCAGACTACTTTGCCCTTCTCCTTTATGAACTAACAAATTCTAAGCTCCCTAGAAAACTAATTCAATAGGTTACAAAAACAGATAGGTTGAAAGACAACAGGGATGGGGGATATCCAGCGTATTGTACAGAATGTCACACGTATTACTATCTGCCTGCTGGACAGAAGTGGTGGGTGTATCCTCGATTCAATGAGCTCCTGGCCCTCAGGCAACAAGTACCTTCCCTTGAGGCCAAGTAGGCTGACTTGGAACAACTGGTGGAAAAGTCCTTCAGAGATGTGATAGCTATGTCACACTCCCAGAGTGATAACTTTGTCTTGACAAATCCTCCTCCTCTGATGGCAACTTCCCATACTTCAGGCTTAATATCATGCTTCATGAGTATTCTTTTTATTTTTTATTATAATTTTTTATTGGTTTTTAAAATAATTTTATACACGTTTAATATAACCATTTCAAACATTCTTTTGAACCTTCGGACCTTCTTCTCTATCTCCATGGATTCCATGTTTAAGATTGAATTTGCTGCATCTTTTACCATTATCCATCTGTTATACTACCATAATTATCCTAAATCATTCCACATTACAAGTGTCATTGCATCCCTGCTAAAGATTTTAACTGTTTACAGTACTCTTTTTTTTTTAAAGGCTGCTTATTTAGTTGTATATAAAACTTTTGTTGTATGTTACTAAACTTAGTTCACTTCATTGAAACAATTCAAAGTTTTACTTCCTGCGTATGATATTGTATACCAAATTGCTTTTAATTACACAGATTATTATTATTATTAAGAGAGAGAAAATTAATTCAGAACTTTTGTTTCCTCAGCGGGAACTGCAGAGGACAAGATGCGACTGTTTCTTATATATTACATAAGTTGTGTACAGTGTCCTTCTGAGGTATGGATTTTTTATGAAACGGTCACACAATTTCATTAGGAATCCTTCCCAGTGTTTTGCTCTTACTTGGTAGTATGCTGTGGCACTGGCTGTAGACAGAGCATAGAAAATGCAGGCCTGAGTCAGGTTGACAGACACATGTTCTTCTGGAGTTTAAAAGTAGGAGATTTACAAGCAATCTGCTATTTTCACTCCAGTACTATGTGCAGGCATTGTTTTACCACTTGCCTCTGTGGGCACAAAGAAACAGAGCAACTTCAGTGTGTTAAGTGTAAAATTCTTGTCCATAGATGACCTGTCCTGAAAAGTAAAGGTAGGCAACGTTGAGGATCTCAAGAAAGCATTTTATACCACTAAGAAAGAACTCTATAAAAGTTTACTGCTTGGCAATGCAGTCCTAAACATGTTTACTCATATGGTCTTTCTAGCTTCCCCAGCCGCCACACTTGAAGCTAAATTCTGAAATGTTGCCAAATATTTGGTCACAACTAACCAAATTTGTGAGGAGCTTTGGTGTGTTTTCTTGAAATAAAGAAATACGTATTTGGCAGTGACAGGAAATTGGAAGCATTTATTGTATTTTTTAATAATTCTAGATCACTTCCTATAAATATATTATCAGGACAGCTTAAATAGCTTAAAATGCAATAAGTCAATTAGGATAATTATTATTTGAGGTGACTAAAGATAATCTGTATTAAAAATACAGATTATTTTTCTATTTCCACATGGCCAAGGAGTCTCTGGATTTGCATTCGTCATGAAACATACCCTGTAATACAGCAAGGGAAGAGTGTAGCTTTTTTAATGCTAGCCTTTCTAAAGTGTATTTCATAGGGGCTGACTGACACACACAGTGAGATCAGGTGCTTCAGCCTGCAGGTGGAGAATCCTTACTTGAATGCTTGCTCGTGTTAAAAAAAATATTCTGCACAAAGAAGAGTAACATGTAGGACTCCTCTTTTATGCTAACTTGGATCTTATTTAATATGCATTTTTTATTTTAAATTTGAAACTGCAGTCAGTTTGCATACAAGTCATTGAAGCATGAGACTCCTCAAACAGCTGATTGCTTGATTAGCCTGGGACAAGGTCTGAGGGGGCAAGTAAAATAGATGAAATTTTGCTGCTTCCTGCCAGGTATGGGGAACTTTTTACTGGAAATGCAAACTAGTCTCGCTTCTTACCTGTTATATGAACATTGGACTACATTGCAGGTCTGCTGTATCTCAGCACAGTCCTCCAGCCTGCAGTAGGGGTCTAATGCCATTAGACAACGCTGCAGAAATGTTGTGAACCACTCAGAACCTGACCTGTGGTATTCAGTCTGAGCTACATTGCAGAACTTTAATAAACCATTCTCTCTGAACTCCTTAGGATTTTTTCCCTACAGTCTGTAGATATCTCCCATCTATATGGGTGCTGCTGCTTTGGCTACATAATGGCAGGGAGTCACCCCTGAAATTTGAAAGCAGAATATAATCTATAGTACAGAGAGTACCGTGCATTGATTTTTCATGTAATGAGTTGTGGAATATATTTTTAAAAACTTACATTGGCTTAAGTTTCTCAAAGATTGTAAGGTGACAATATGATAGTGGCCCAGTTCATATGTCACTTTTAAACCATAGTTAAGAAGCTTAACCATAGGTTCAAGTGATGCATAAAAGAAGGCAATGATTGCTTTTGTTCATTTATTTCAACACCCTTCTTAATTTGCACTTTCATAGCAATCATGCATGATTTGTTCTGAATGAAATGTTAATATGTCTGCATATATCCAGTGCTTTTTGTATTCATGATTGTTTAGAAGATAATGAGGATTTTCTATGCCCTGAAGTAAAAGTGTTAGATTTATTATTAGCAAATAATGGTGGCAGTTTACTGCTAAATTTAGAAGACATGTAACACATCTCAAATCTCCTGTTTGATTCTAGGCAGATCTGGAACAATACAAAAAAGCGTTGACAGATGCAGGGTGTAATCTTAGTCCCTTAAACTACATTAAACAATGGAAGTAAGTTATTTTTGTTTTCATAAAGCAATGAAATTATATATTACAAAAACTTAGAGAGACCTGGAGTTGCAAGAAAATGTCTACTGTCTGGCTACTGGGCACTTCATCCTGTCCCTCTTTCCCCTCAAACAGTTCAACAAAAAGTGCATTAGATACTACCATGCACACTAAAAACTTATTCTGCTTCAAAATATAGTGCCTCAGATTCTCACGATTGTGGAGCAGCAGTCAGATTCAGCATCTGCAGTCATACATTGTTCAGTACCATAGTCGCATCTTTAGAGGAGAAGGGTCTTCATAGTGATTACAGAAATTTTAAAGTATTAGAATATAACATTTCCAAACCAAACTGGCCTAAGACTTTTATAGGTTCGGGATGATAGCCAGTGTAATAGATAAGATTATTACAATTCTTTCTGAAAAATACCTTTTTTATTTTCTTTTTAAGCTATTCCCTCCTGTCCCCTTTGACCCCTTTGACTTTGAACATGTATTGTAATTATTTGTTCTGCTTTGAACACAGAATTTTCTCTATAATACTTTCAAAACGGTTTATTTTTGTGAATTGTGAAGCTGAAGTATTTGGGAGGTAGTAAAGTAGGAGACAGGTGTTATTTGTAGTATGTGCTTATTAATTGTTAGTCATGTTGCCTTTCTGATGTGAAGTAAAGAGCAGTTTCATCCTCAAATGACTAGAAAGGCTAGATTTTCAAACTTAATGCTTCTTTCATGGTATAATTGGTAGATTTAGTAGTGTTCTGATGAAAATAAATTAAGTGTGCAGATATTAACTTCCTTATTTCACAGAGCTTTTGCCAAGATGGCTTCAGCTCCAACTACGTATGGAAACAGTGCAGCCAAGTCTCTGGGGTAAGTTTCAAAGTACATTTTGTTACTGCTACTTGAAAAGCCTTGCCTTTTTACTGGGAACAAGTTGAGTGCTGCCTCTGATCGCTTCTGCCTGTGAGGTTTAACTTCTCTTAGGTTATTTATTTATTTATTTATTTATTTAATTTACTGCCCTGTGCTTTCGGTTCCAAAGGACTCCCAAAGTGGTTTACTATTAGAACAACAAAGAGTGAAACAAAATTCAATGAATATTATGTAGCAATGAAATTGTATAATATATGTAAAAGCAACAGAAAAAAATAAATTCAAAAGCAGATTCGTAGTAGCAGTAATAGTAATATTGGTATGCAGTATTGCAGTATTGGTATGAATTGGTATGCAGAAGCTTTGCTGAAGATTCAGGATTTCACTGCTTGGCAGTTTCCCACCAGCAACCCTCACTCTACTCTCTAGAGGCTGTTTCAATACAGAGCTTCCCAAGCATTACATTGGTTAAAGTAGATGCAAAATTTATTTTCCATACAAAAAACAAAACAAAAAACAACAACTAATAGTCTGATTGTGTATATCCTAAGGGAATAGAAGAAAAGTGTGGTAAAATATTTCACACGCAGGTTTTTTCCTATTAATTTTATTTTTTGTTTTAAAAATTCAGTTAAATAAAATAAAAAATGAACAAAGAAACAAAAGGTGCATTAAAAAATAAACGATATTCAGATAAATCGGAAACAGAACAAAAGGGAGTGGTGGCAGTTCTTCATATCTTTGATGCTTAATTTCTGTTTCTTACCTTCATATGGTATAGTTCACCATAATAATAATTTTTTTAACACCTGAAAGTACACAAAATCATGCTCGATGTGCTCTTTATGTTTTAGCCTTTTCTCACGTGTCATGAATACAGGATCCCAGTTTGTGATGGAAGGAGTCAAGAATTTCGTGCTAAAGCAACAGGTGTGTTTAACAATGTAGATTCTATGTTGACGAACATTAAGCATGTTCATATTCTAGTATTTGAAACCAATGATATTTCACAGTATAACTAGAAAGCATGGGTTAGATTTCTTGGACTGCCAACAAGAAACTTTAAAGAAAAGGGCAAACTGTTTCTTAAGTTGCATGCAACTCTTTGGCATTCAGTAGTTCATATGGGACACCTAGAATTTTAAAGAAATTGATAAGCGATACAAGAATAATCTACTACAGTTCCAGAATATCTCTGAAGACTTGTCTGTTCCCATCAGTCTCCATGCTACTACCTATTAATTATAACTCCTCTTTCTTGACTGTTTCTCAAGGAAGGAGGGTGGCAGATGAGTTGGGACCCAGTGAGAGCTTTGAAAGGGGGAAAAAACAGGTGCTTTAAGACAAGCTGCAGGCTAACTGATTGAAGCTGCTTTTCCCAATATTGAGGCTCAAAGTTCAGTGGCTACTAACTTGGGCGCAGTTCCGTCAGTCTTAATATCCAGACCGCCTGTGTGCTGTTCCACCTGGTATGTCCATTGCTATTCCATCAGGGTGAAGGATGGGTAATGACCAAATAAATAAATGCAATATCTGAATCACCTCTCTTTTTTTTCCCTTTTTTACCCTGGGAACAAACACTCAGATAGTGTGTGCTTATTTTACTATGGCAGAGGCATATATAGCAGGCCAACTGTATTCATTTTAAAATGAGGAAGGGCTCCAATAGCAATGTGAAAAGTGATCCAATTGTGTCTGTGCCTGTTTCTTTCCTAAGCTACATTGAACAACAATTTCTGCAATTTACTTGAATTAAGTACTCTCTTCTATAGAATCTTCCTGTCACCCGCATTTTAGACAACCTTATGGAGATGAAGTCCAATCCTGTAAGTACAGCAAACAAACTTGCACATTAGATTTTATTTATAAAGTCCCTTTACCCTGGCCTTTGAAACCTGACGTGTGTTTTCCAGATCCACCCTATGTTGTTGTTGTTGTTTAGTCGTTTAGTCGTGTCCGACTCTTCGTGACCCCATGGACCAGAGCACGCCAGGCACCTCTGTCCTCCACTACTTCCCGCAGTTTGGTCAGACCTGTGACTAATTTGTTAACTGCTTTTAATACTGAATTGTAAATTGTTATAACCCACTCTGGGTTCTGCTAGTGAAGGGTGTGCATTAAATTTAATAATTTTTTTAAAAATACTGATATACACAATTTTGGTGCCATGAACTATTACTAATTTTAACATTATAGGAAGAAATTGTGTTTCATATCGTATCTGTAAATCTGCATGTACCACTTTACAGTTTAACAGAATGATGAAGCTGACCAAAACATAAAACTTCAACAAGTATTTCAGTATCATCTCATTACCTTTCCTTATTTGTGTGGGTGTAGATATACACACAAATATGCCACCAAGGTGGTAAATACTATAGAAAAAACCAACATCTGTGAGGTTGTATCATGAAAAACAGCTCCCAAACACAACTGAGGGCACATATTTTGGTGGCCTATGAGATGAATCTCTATCAGATAATTCCATTCAGAAGTTTTTGTACATTGGTATGCACAAGAATGGGGACGTGGGTGGCGCTGTGGGTTAAAGCCTCAGCGCCTAGGACTTGCTGATCGAAAGGTCGGCAGTTTGAATCCCCGCGGCGGGGTGCGCTCCCGCTGCTCGGTCCCAGCGCCTGCCAACCTAGCAGTTTGAAAGCACCCCTGGGTGCAAGTAGATAAATAGGGACCGCTTACCAGCGGGAAGGTAAACGGCGTTCCGTGTGCTGCGCTGGCTCGCCAGATGCAGCTTGTCACTCTGGCCACGTGACCCGGAAGTGTCTGCGGACAGCACTGGCTCCTGGCCTATAGAGTGAGATGAGCGCACAACCCTAGAGTCTGTCAAGACTGGCCCGTACGGGCAGGGGTACCTTTACCTTTACCTTTTATGCACAAGAATAAACTAAATTTCTGAAAATTGTTGTGGATTCATTTGGGAGGAGGTTTTTTTTAATTCTACAGATATAATCTGGAAAATATAGGTAACTGCAAAAGTAGAGACAGGAAAAACTGGTGCTATTTGCCAATAAAAATATTGAGTGTCTTTGAGGGAGGAAAAAATCCTTCATATCATAATGATGTCAACAGTAAAAAAAAAAAAATGTCATGCCTCACGTTTTCTAAAAACAAACTTATTTTGCTTTAATAGTACTAGTTAATCATGGGCTGAAATAAATTTGACTGGTGCATCATTTCAACATTCATTGCCATTTTTGAAAAGAAAGCGGCAATCTTGGTTACTATGTGGAGGGGAAACATACTGTTGGGGGACCTAGTGTGAGATCTAAAACTAGTGACATCTTTAGATTAATATATTGCTTCAGAGCTAGAACATATTACGCAAGTAGTATATTTTGAAAAGTTTGGGAGTTGTGAATTTCCCATGAGCCACCTCTTCTCCTCACCCACCAGCTGGTAGCAGCTAACATACCGTATTTTTCCCTCTATAACACGCAGATTTTTTCTCCTAAAAAGGAAGGGGAAATGTCTGTGCGTGTTATAGAGCGAATGTGTGGTCCCTGGAGCCAAAAAATCAAGCAAAAGTCAAATCGCGAGTCACGGAGAAGGGAAACCTGAAAAGAGTTTCAGGTTTCCCTTCTCCGTGACTGCTTTCCTGCATTCTGCCTCAGGGTCTTACTGCCCACCCTCCTCTGTTTCGTTGCTGTGATTGCTGAAACGGAACAAAGAGCAGGGAAAGCCCCTCCCCTCCAGGCAAGCAGAGTGTCGTTCTTTCTAATTCCTCTCTGTGCACCGGTGCTGCTGGGGGAGAGGGAGAGAGAGGGGGGAGGGAGAGGGAGAGAGAGGGGGGGAGGGAGAGAGGGGGGAGGGAGGGAGGGGGGGAGAGAGAGAGAGAGAGAGAGAGAGAGAGAGAGAGAGATGGCTGGCTTGGGGGGGAACTTTTGCCTTTCTTTCCTCCCACCCGTTAAATCCCTCTCCAGCATTCTTAGCCAGCTGCTTCTCTGCACACCCCTCTCATGTCCCTTCTTTGTTTTTCCTTCGCTCCCCACGTAAAATGTGGTTACAAAGCATAGATCAACATGGATCCTCAGGATCTTTGCATTGGGTCACCCCAAATTCACCATCAGATCACATAGCATGTCCATGGCTACAGCCTGCCCCCCCAAAATCACGCACCCATTGTTGCCTGGGGCTGCAATGGTCAAAACGTAGTTAAAAAGCATGGATCCACATGGATCCTCAGGATCTTTGCATTGGGTCACCCCAAATTCACCATCAGATCACATAGCATGTCCATGGCTACAGCCTGCACCCAAAAAAGCACGCACCCACTGTTGCCTGGGACTGCAATGGTGCAAAAATGTGGTTTCAAAGTATGGATCCACAGGGATTCTCAGGATCTTTGCATTGGGTCACCCCAAATTCACCATCAGATCACATAGCATGTCCATGGCTACAGCCTGCACCCAAAAAATCACGCACCCACTGTTGCCTGGGGCTGCAATGGTGCAAAAACGTGGTTACAAAGCATGGATCCACAGGAATTCTCAGGATTTTTGCATTGGGTCACCCCAAATTCACCATCAGATCACATGTCTGTGGCCACAGCATGAAGCACAAAAATGATACATCCACTGTTTCATTCAGAATGTTTTTTCCCTTGTTTTCCTCCTCTAAAAACGATGTGCGTGTTATGGTCAGGTGCGTGTTATAGAGCGAAAAATACGGTAGGTATTTTACCAATGTGACTGAATGAATATTGGTGGCTGCTAGCATATGTGTTTGTTTTTATGTATGAATACTTCTAGATTTGTAAGTTGGGAAATGGATTAATAGAAGCCACAGTAGTCAAACTTGTGGGACTGAACATAGCAATAAATTGTTACCAAGATTTCTCTTGTTAAATAGGAAACAGATGACTACAGGTATTTTGACCCTAAGATGTTGCGTGGCAGTGACAGGTGAGTTTACCATGCAATTTTAGTAAGTGTGATGCCTGCCGTCTGAAATATAGTTAATGTGCAGTCTGTGTAACATTAAATAAAAGAGTAAAGAAACCATTCTCTTATCTGGATCCTCCTGTACACATGCCAAAATCTGCACTTGGCCCAAGATTTTGAGGGTTCACAAAGAGGAGAAAAAGATGAAGTTCTCTTGTCTGAACAGAACTCTACTACAACTCATGTGTTCTGGGATGTGCTTTTCTAATGTTTAAGTTAAATGTTTAGGTGACCGAGTGCCATTCTCATTATCAACCATCTTGGGCCCTATGATCAGCAGAGGAGGCCCTGTTAGTGGACCCACTACTAAGGGTTCCCTGGTTGGCAGTGACCAATGACAGGGCCTTTGACATTCCCTCATTTGTGGAATGCCCTCCCTAATAAGATGTGTCTGTCTTCCTCACTATGAACTTTTAGGAGAAATTTTGAAACATTCCTGTTAATCCAAGCATTTGATGGCTGAAAGTTCTGTTCCTGACAACCCTGAAATGGTTAGTTTGAGAATATGCGATTGATTTTAGGAGCTTCAAACTTTTTTTAGAAGCTTGAACAGTGGCAATTTCTGCCTTGTGAACCACTAAAGGTCAACTGAAGTCCTCTAGAGCAGCAAGGTTCTCTAATTGCATTGTCACCAAAGAGTTAGCCCTTACACAAATGCCCCAAGCCTGAACCTGGCAAGCAGGAGAAGGAACACAGTCCCACTTAGAGGAATATTAATACCCAGTCACAAACACATTTTAGGTAAGACCAACGCTCCTGTTTTATAGTTCAAGGTGTTTATGAATATTGAATGCTTGATGTTTAAAAGATAACTGAGCTTTCAATAAAGTTTTTATTTATTTATTTCAGCTCAGTTCCAAGAAACAAAAATCCATTTCAGGAGGTAAGAACAGATCGTACTTCTCCAAATCAGTGGTATGAACATTTGCTTTAAGTATAATAGACGTTGGTCACTCCTTACAGAAAATTGGATCCCGTTATATGAAATCATTAGTGTGATTACAGTTTTGTTAAATGATATTCAGAACTAGTAAGCTCCTTTCATCTTCAAAGAGTCAAGTAAGCATAAGCTAATCTTTTCCAACATTCTTAACACCCTGGCCTTAAACACATTTACTTAAGATATTAGGAGAAATTAATTGTAAAGAAATGTGTTTAGGTTCTTGGTTGATGAGCAATTTAAAATGTAAAATGTCACTTCTAAGGAGCAATGTAAAACATAGCTTCAAAAAAACATTTCACCATTTTGCTGAAAATGGGTACACACTAAAAATACACATTCTGCACCTTTTCTCTCTCCTAACTTTGACCCAGTCCCAGCATAATAGCCCTGTGCAGACAATATTGCACAAGGGAGATATCGGTATTTGGTTTTAATGTTGGAGTATCAATTAAAGGTCCTGGTCTGGTCCTTCACTTCTCTGTGTTGGGGAAAAGAGCTGTGAGCAAGCTCAGAGTCTCTTCCCAGTCTTGTAATTGAATATTACATCCGCTGTGCACCTTCACTTCCCGGAAGTGTGGGCATGAGGACAAGGCCTTCTGTGTTGTGGTGCCAAGGTTATGGAATGCCCTTTCCAGGGGAGCCCTGCTGGGCTTCTTCTCTGCTCTTCTTCCAGCAGGCAGTAAAATTGCAGTGTTTTAAAATGTTATCTAATGTAAATTTTGATTTATTGGTGAGTTTTTAAAATTGGTTATGGTGGTTATCATTTTTTAGATGAAGTTTACTATTTTGATGTTGATTGATGTCAAGTATTTCCCTGAAATATAAAAGCAGACTGCAAATATTTAAGAAATAAATATGATTCAATACTTTCCCGTTAAATGACTATTTTGTCATGAAACTGCTATTTTAAATTAGAATTGGATCAAATATAAATAGCTCAATGCTCTTAACTGCAAAAATTAAATATCTAAACCCTATGGCAAAATAAATTGTGTGGATAATTAGCTGCCTTTGGCAAAATATATGAGGCACAATCTGTCGTTGGGTGAGGACCCTTAGAAACTTACCCTGCCAAATAAAATCCACTCTAGAGGGTCCTTCAGCCCTTCAGAGTAGAATTGATGGCATGAAGGAGACTACAAGAAAGGAAGAGAGCTAGGTGAAGTCCCGTTGTACAAGTGGAAGTCTGTTGTCTTCAAGGGTTGACAGCACCGGATGAAGCCCGTGATTTATATGTTTGTATATTTATCTATTTTTAATGTGATGCTGCATATCCACTATAAAATGTCCCATAAGGCGTAAATCAAAACACATTCTGTCCTGAGATAAATATTATGAAGGGAAATATATTAATACCTTAAATAAATAAAAAAGTAATTAAAATCACAATAATAAATAGCATCTCTGGTAGTAACTTAACTCAATAAAAATAAGTGTTTAAACTGACGTTTTGTTACTAGATGGACATTTTTTGCTTTGGAGAATTAAAAGAAAATTTGACTGTTTATCCACAGTAATCATACATTTTCTAGAACAGGAGTGGCTAATCTTACATTGTAATAAAG